ACGTCTCGCTGCTATCATGGCCTATCCTGCCGCCGGAGCGCAGGTCGTTGGTCCCGCCACGAGACCGCCAACGACGTGATTGCCAGAGCTCTCCGATCGGCCGAAGTACCCTGCATAAGGGAGCCCCCAGGGTGCTCTACCCTGGTCACGAGGGAGATCCCTGGTCTGGGACTTTACCTGCGCCGACACGTTCGCCTCGAGTCATCTCCCGGACACCATACGCCACCAGGGCGCTGCTGCCAGGAAAGCCGAAGGAAGGCAAGAAGAAGAAATACGCCTTCCTCCTGGACCGCTACATTTTTGAGCCCATTGCCATGGAAACTACGGGAGTGTGGGGCGAGGAGGGGTTGACCCTCATCCAGCAAATTGGGCAGAGAATTTCCGCCATATCTGAGCAGGGCAATTCTGCCAACTTTCTCCGCCAACGACTTTCCCTACCCGCTCAACGAGGGTCTATTTTGGGGAAACTCCTCCAGGAAATGAACTGGAGGAAGTGTATTATTTGTAGTCAGCCTGCTTTACCCTGTCACGATTTTTCTGCCATTTTATACGATTTTCTACGATTTATTTTGATTTTTCTTAAGTGAGGCATATCTGTACGACCCTGGTAGTCAGCTTTTCTATTTAATTTTATATGTGATTTTCAACTCTGCGACACACACATTAATTAATTCGAAATAAATTTTAAATTATCTAAATTATTTAAATTATTTAATTTTAAATTTTAAACTCATTAACTTGAGATTCCCTCTAATTAATTAATTCTAATTCTAATCCCAATTCCCTCCGCATCACAAATGTCAAAAAGAAGGAAGGTGATTTTTTTGTGACTTCAATTTTATTTAGTATTTACCATGTATGTATGCAGCATAGATGATAGTACAGTATTGTCATATTTAGGATTAGTACATAGTGTAAAACAAATTGAGCGCGATAATTTGCAAGATTTTTCAAATGCAGGAATTTTCGTGATTTTAATTTTTTCGGACAATTACTTTCCGTCAGTTATGAAACAACATCTGGTTAGTCCTCCCGAAGTATGAGACATATTTCAAGTCCTTCCTGTGAAGCTAGGATTCGAATCTTCCATGACAGTTGGCGAAATCTGTTTTCCATATTTTGAAATTAGTAATGTCATGACAAATGAGGTTGAGGAATTTTATTAATTTGCATACCGTAAATATGTACATGATTTCCTAATCGGGTGCAATTTGTTTTACAGTATGTATACTATATATAAGTTAATAATATTTACCCAGTCTCCATCTGTCTGCCGAGATCAATATCCAATACCCCGACGAGATTGGAGGATATATATTATCGTAGCAAATTTAAAGCTTCAAGTAAGGTATGTATACTCTAAATAAAAATAACTAAAATTTGCCCAAGGTTTATTAAAAAAGAGGATGACACAAGAATTGGGTAAAATTTTCACAAATTTTATAAATTTTACACAACCGTTGGATACATTTTACACAAGTTGAATGGGGGACAAGCCATCGAACAAGTGACATGTTTTAAATACTTAGGACTGCATGTTGACTCTGTGCTTTGGTTTAATACCCACTTTCAAATGGTATTAAATAGCGTCTCAAGTAATCTGTGGGTATTAATCAAGTGGAATCTTCAAATTAAATCCGAATAAAAACTATTTACATAAATACTTTTACAAAAAAAGGATTCTTAGCCTCAGCATAGGTTCCGGTAAATCTTGATATTTTATCGTACACATTTTTCAGAATAGGCATTGGCACAAGTATAAGATATAAAATGAAATTTGCAATATCTTTAGATGCTTTTGATTGAATCGCTAGCAGTTCATATCCATTTTACATTATTTGCACTCGTCTGATATTGGTTGGGTAGAGGGAGTAATTATGCAATCTAGCAAGAAAACATGAAAACAGCAAAAAAGCAAAATAGCAAATTTTTGAACTGCAATTTTCTGGTAAGTAATGTTAAAATTTTAAATTGCAAGGAAGTTGTTCTAATTTAAGTTTTACTTTAATCCTGTCATGATATCCCTGCAAATTATAAGGATTTTGGCAATTAATTAGTCAATTTCAATTAATGCAGATTAATTATGATTTCGAACTGATGCATCAAGATTCATCACTTCCTTCGCCTCTGGCCATCAGCAGCTCCTAAAATTGTTCAAAAAGCAACCTAAATTTCAAAATCTCCAGGATTACAGAAATTCATTTTAGAACGCGCAGGTGAGCCTCAAGTCTTGAAATTGCTAACTAAATTATTGCAACAATTTTTATAACATAAAACTTTCCAAATTATTAGGAAATTTGGACGTCAATATTGCTGCTGTGCTCTGTCTTTTGTACCTCATCCCCCCAACAGCTCAAGGAAAAGGAAAGGGGAGCCGTTCCAAAACTGATGACGCCAAGGACCTCTTATTATCGTATTTTAAGGTAAAAATTAAAATCACACATATTTTAAATTTATTAGTGTATTATTTATGCTACAGACCGGCACTCCACTCCAGTCAATCCTAGACACTTGGAAAATCGAAAAAAGTCAGCCGAATCTGGTTTGCCTGGGAGATACGACGAAGGACTTGAATTCTTTCTTCATAATTTGTGATCGTCGCATCCTTCCGATAGCTGCGTTAAACACCACTCAAGCCATTGACACAGTTTTCAAAGCCCACTACGTCTTTGCAACCGAGTACGACAAGAGCTTATCTGGAATTTGGAAGTTTATCCAGGTCTACGTGTATAAATTGAGACGTGAAGACAACGTAACTTCCAAGAAAAGTGAAGCAAGTTTATACGCAATTAGGAAGTGTATTTGATCAAGATGTTTAAGTGTCATGAGTGCTTCAAATATTTTGATACAATTTTAGCAATTAAGGATCAGTATAAATATGTCCATATTTACGGCCACGTGAATTTTAACAGTATTATTTGTCCAAGTGAATCTTGTAATACGATGATTAGTACCTGGAGCGGTCTATGGCGTCATTTGAAAGCGTTTCATAACAATTCGAGTAGTTTAGACATAATTGAAGACTGCAATATCCAATTTACTCCTACAAATCACGAAATTAATCCTACGTTTACAAATTTTGAGCACATTGGAATAAGAGAAGAAATATCGATCGATTTAGGAGTTGAATTGATTACTGATTTGCTTCATAATTTTTGTTCCTCCTTATTGGCAAATGGAGTGAATAACTCCACTGTACACTTTGTTGTAAAAGAAATAAAGTATAGTTTTTCAAATATTTTAAATTTAATTCTCAAAATTGCGAAAAAATATTGTATCCAAGACTATGAAGAATTTTCTAGTAAAATCACAGGATTATTGTCAGCATTTTCCAAAGTAAAATCCTCATATCTGCGACAAAAGCTGACAACTGTAAATAATAATGTTATTTTACCAGTAGAAATAAGTTTAGGTAGTAGAACGGAAATGCGCATCCGCGAAAATAAGCGACAAAAAGTAATAGTGCAGGACACATTTATGTATATTCCAATTTTGAAGACACTAGAACAAACAATTAGGTGCAATATTATAGACAGTTAATGATATTTTAAGCTATCCGAAAATATTTATGTAAAATTAATTGTAATTTTTGAAGATTGTAAACGCTGCTGTGACTGAGAGCGCCGAAATTTCCCGTTTAGTTGCAGAGTGCAATAAGAAAAACTGCGTCGATAAAGCGTCGTGGACAACTTTAGTTAATAAATTTGTAGCAAAGTTAACAGAGGTGAGTCGCCAAAGCATTCTTAATATTTAATAATATATTTAATTTGCCCAATTAAATTTCAGAGTTTCTCCTACAACTACCTACCAGAAACACTTAGCAGCTGTAATAATTAAGCGACTGCATTCATTCAGACACTCGAAATCAGTGGAGGGCCTGGTGAGTGAAAATTTCGCGTATTATTTAAATGTTCTCTTGTATTGAGAATTTCTAAAAGTTGTGTAATTTTAATCTGCAGGACATTTTGTTTGATGACGTCAACCGATGTGGACTCATCCAAAATCGAAGACGATTTATCGGAATTTGAAGGGTGGACGGAAGAGTGTCGAAAAAGCGGGAGTCGACTACTTAAAATTCTGGCCTAACAAGAAAATCTCAAGACCAATTCCCGAGAATTCTGAATTTAATGAGGAACTAGTCGACGAGCTCAGCTCTACTTGCGCAAAAGACGGAGTTGGGGAAATAAAGCATACGGATACGCTCGGTCATCGTAATATCTTAGGAAATGCCGGGGATAAGTCGATCTTGAAAATTTACAGAAAATTTACAGAATTTAACTTCATGGTATTTACATATTTTTGGAAATATCTTAAACTTGTTGAAGTCGATTATTGTCTAATTTAGCATTTAAATAATTTCTCTAAAATATTTAGTTCGATTTAAATTTCATAAATAAATATGTATGCATGTGTATGTATGTAACTCAATAGTTTTCATTATACTCAAAATTTATAATTATGTATGTAAGTATGTTTCAAAATGATTTTACAATAAATAAACTTGATTGAAAGATTATTGTAAAGAAAAGCAAAAAATCTGTTCTTTTCGGTGGAAATATGCACAACATTTGGTAATAATGGAGTATACGCAATGAAAAGCATTAATACCGGTTTGAATAGCTCACCGTGTACAAAGTGGTATAGTTTATTACCAGGTGGTAGACATTTTACCACATATTGTAGTAAATCTGCTATACATCACGGTATTAATTCTATCCAGAAAAGTGTTCTTTATTACCACTTCGGATTCAATCAATTTCTTTACCAGCTGGTGGTTATTATTACCGTTTCTGCAGAGTCATATACGTGTGCATTTTGGTAATGATTTGGTAATTATTTTGTTTAGAGTGTGAGGTGGTTATCGCGGATGTTAACCGCACTAATTTAAAATAATATAAATAATTTAATATAATTTTGAAATAATTATGAATTTTTTAAAATTTTTAATTTTTTGAAATAATTATGAATTTTTTAAAATTTTTAATTTTTTGAAATTCTGAACAAATTATGCAACTTTGAACACATTATGTGAAATTTTGAAAAACATTAGATGTGTGCAAATTTTTTGAAGTTTGAAAAAAAGTATCTGAAGATAACATGTGTTTGACCTGTTGGTTCAACGGCCGACCTGTATCGATGGTCACACGCTCGTCACAAATATCGTCACAACTTGACGAAAAGTGAATTTTACACGGAAATTCCTTCAGTCTGTTGAATAAGTCATGTACTATGGTCATTTTGGTATAGATGCCGGCCGAAGTATTTTCTCAAACTAAATTTTTATTTTTCCCAACGCTTTATCCAACTTGTCACACCCCAACCTTCCCCTCGGGTCAGGATCCAACAACCCATGAATCACATTCCCCCACGACCGATATTTCGCGGCAATAATATCTCTCAGAAAACGCCTCCGCTTGGCAGAACCACTAAGCTCATGCAATTTTGTTGACGTCGACCAAAAGCCAAACTTATTTTCCTGACCTTGTACCAATTTCAAAAACACTAATCCCAAACTATATTCATCCGTTTTTGTCGTGTAGCTCAACTCCCTCTTCATCTCTGGGCTCCAATAAAGTTCCGTTCCCACTTTGCCAAAATTTCCTTCCGCCTTTATCCCCACGGCGAGGCCAAGGTCCCCAATTTTCCAGGTGCATCCCTCCGCAGGGTCACTTTTGCAAAATATATTGACAGGTTTGATGTCTCGATGGATGTATCCCTTGTCATGAATATATTTCAGTCCGACCCCGACATCATGCGCGATTCCGAGTAAATGCCCATTGCTCACTTGTGACGTGACCTTTTTACCCATAAAGTCGTGTAGGGTAAAGTGGCAGAGTTCCATTTTTATAAAAATGATGCTCATTGCTGACCCCAATGGAACCGTGTCGCCCGTCATTGTGGATTCAAGATCTTCTTCGTCAAGGATTTGACACCCGTCGGCATCATCTTCCCCCCAGCAGGCAAAGTAACGCACGACGTGGTCAAAGTTCAATTTATTCAGGACCACAATTTCGTTGAACAGATTCATTGTCTCTTTCGAAGAAATTCTTGTCGCTCCCGTGCGAGGACAGGAAAACAATTTGTTTCGGACATCGACACATTTCACGGCACAGATAGGATTCACCAAATCGGTGGAATCCTCAACCTTGTAAACCTGGCCAAATGCACCTCTTCCAACTTTTGACAAAAATTTGAGAGATGGATTTGATTTACAGGGGGAGGGCAGAGAAGTATCCTTGTCATGGTTTGCCGTTATGAAGGGATAAGAACGGTATTCTCTTGTTTTGGCTGGGGAATAAAAAATACATGTCAGGAAATTCAACAATGTGGGCAAAACCCCTTCATCCTGAAGGTTTTTTAGGCTTTATGTATCTGATTGCGCCATACAGTGCGATGGTGTGATGTGTAACCCTCGGATTTGGTTGCAATTCTAAAATTATTAGGTTCAAGTCAATACAACCAACGTTTCTTGATGCAGTTTGTGCGATGGTAGGAATTTGTCAAAATATTTGAACTCAAAGTGGAACACATGGGCGATTTCTCCCTTTGAAGGGAATAGAAGTGGGGTTTGCTTCCTTAGCTTGGTAAGAATAGCCCATTTTTCTACTTTGGCCTCAAATATTTTGACAAATTCTGACCATCGCACAAACTGCCTCCAGAAACGTTGGTTGTGTTGACTTGGACCACATAATTTTCAAATTTCTACCAATTCGGAGGGATACACTTTACACCATCGCATTCTTAGTTTTGTTGCTTTTCAAGATTATGTAAGATCAAAACCCAGCATGGGGTTGAAGAATTGCCATCAAAACCACTAAACTCCCCGGCACATTAAACCCGGTTTGAATTGAAACACGTCATTTTTAACCATACCTGAAACAGATTGCCTCCGTGCCGCGAGCTTTTTTCGGATCAAAAATAAAATGGAGGATGTAATCAAGGCTGCGACTATTAAACCGGGCGCGATGTACAAAATCATATTATCGTCCGGAGCAGGTGATTCTCTATTAGATGAATCCGTTGTGACATCCATCACGTTGAAAAAATATAGCTCATCCTCGCCACCTTCACAATCCACCACGCCGTCCTGGAATTTCTCAATAGGAATGCATTTATCGCCACAGTCAAATTGCCCTGCTTCACAATTGTACTGTTGAGCACAGAATATTTCATTTTCGTCATTTCCCCCAACACAATCCACCACCCGGTTGCAAAGTCTCGTGAGTGGGATACAGTCTCCATTCCCACATGCGAAGTTATTTGGACCGCAACTAAATTCATTACAATGCCAGAGATTTATTATGAATTTTAGATTGTAGTTAGGGCATCCAGAATCGGAAGATTTTTGAAAAACCGGTTTTCGATTAGTTCGGTTTTTCAAATCTTGATAAAACCGGTTTTCGATTAATCGGATTTTAAAACATTTTTAGCAAACCGGTTTTCGATTCTCTGCCAAACCGGCTTTAAACCAGTGTTTCAAATCGGTTTTAGAGCAAGTTTGAAAAAGTTTTCAAATATATTAAGGCAAAATTTAATACGAAATTAAAATTACATATATATTTGGGGATCAAATGTAGTATAATAATTAATTCTTATCTGAACAATGAGAAATATTAAGTATTAGCTCCGAAACAGTTTGTTTTATTAAAAACGGGTTTTGCGAGCGTGTTAAACCGTTCTATTACAAAACCGGGTTCCGGTTTAGTTCGAAAACCAGTTTTATAAAATCGGTTTTCCCGATTTTGGATGCCCTAATTGTAATAAATCAGTGTTGTATAACTACTCAAAAAAGTAGTTGAACTACAACTACGACTACTTTGATTTCATGTAGTTGAAATCTAACTACATTTCTAACTACATCGTTTAGCGTTAGTAGTTAACTACCAACTACTTTTTAACTACTTTCAACTACTTTTAACTACTTTTTAACTACTTTCATTCAACTATCTTTTTAACTACTTTCATTCAAATATCTTTTAACTCCTACCTTCGCCATCCTGTCGAAATCATTAAAATAAGAAAGTTATTTACAACATATTTTTACTTCGGATTTATTCAAGTCGAGTTATGTTTCTAGTCTCTAGGATTATTTTAAAGACCGAATTACACTTTAAAACTGCAAGTGCCTCAAACAAATCATCCAACCTTTTGTTTCTTCTTGGTGTCATTATTAGTCCCGAATAGCTAAATATCCGTTCCACCGGAGCCGAAGAAGGAATTCCTGTGTTGTACCGACGGAACAACTTCGTGAAAAAAAGATGGTATGCGAGATACCTGTTCCTTTATTCTACACTTTAATACTCCAAAGTGGATGGGGATAATGGAGAAAAAGTAGTTAAAAAGTAGTTGAAAAGTAGTTGAAGTTTATTTGGTCAACTATACCATCCGAAAAAGTAGTTGAACTACTTTTTTTCAACTACTTTACACAAGTAGTTGAATCTTAACTACAACTACATTTTGCAAAAAAAATGTATTTAACTATTAGTTAACTATAAAATGTAGTCAACTACTACAACACTGTAATAAATTTCCTTGTTTTTAATACCGATCACTGTCCCGCAACCAGGCTAGCGTATCGTCCGTCCAAAGCAAAAAGTAGTACACGTCACCAGGGTGACATTTTCCATACTTGTTGGTCCTAACATAATTATTGGGATGCCCCAAAAGATAGTATCTTCCGGCTATATTAGTGGCAGGCCCAAAGTCTCGCCAAACGCATTTCATTACAGCATTACCTAAAATAGCAGGAATTCAGGGTAGTTGAAAAGCTTAAGAGAAATCATTAGGGACTCCCAACTTTGTACAAAAATCACTTTTGAGTAAGAATTATTCAATTCAACAATGAGATCCACCACTGATTTTAGAATTTGGAATCCAGTATTTTAAGATGTTACTATGGCCAGTGTGTGTTGATTACACGAAATTTTTTGGCGGGAGAATTACCCCGGAGGGCCTTATGGATTTATAACATGGTGTACATAGTGCACATTGGGCACAGATTTCTCTGCAACGGGTGGATGGATCCGTACAAAATTTGTTGGTGGTAATCTATATCTAAGTACCTCCAACACTTTTGGGTGTTTTTCAGAAATTTGAATTTTGAAATTTGTAAAAAAAATATTTCGAAAATTCTAAAAAACTAGAATTTTTTTGTTTCGATCTACGAATTCCATTTGTGGTTACATTGAATAATGGTGATTAAATGTTTGTCAAACATTACCAGTTTGTAACCATAGAGGCTATTTTTACTGGAGCAGTATTAAATAGTCCAGTTTTATCATATTTTATCAAATTTAATCACCATTATTCAAATGGAATTCGTAGATCGAAACAAAAAAATTCTAGTTTTTTAGAATATTCGAAATATTCTTTTACAAATTTCAAAATTCGAATTTCTGAAAAAAACCAAAAAGGGGTGGAGGTACTTAGATATAGATTACCACCAACAAATTTTGTTCGGATCCATCCACCCGTTCCAGAGAAATCTGTGTCCCAATGTGCACTATGTACACCAACTTATAAATCTATAAGGCCCCCCGGGGTAATTCCCCCGCCCAAAAAATCATGCAATCAACACACACTGACCATAGTAACATCTTAAAATACTGGACTCTAAATTCTAAAATCAGTGGTGGATCTCGTTGTTGAGTTGAATAATTCTTACTCTTTTTCACTCTTTTCTCTAACCACTTTTTTCAATTCCTCACGCGATTTCGTTCTCTTTTGGCCCAAAAATAATATTATCTTCACCTTGATTTTATTTTTAAGCAAAAATATTGGAAAACATTTCGAAATCGTACCCACAATTGAGAAAAATGCGTTTTGTGAAAGAGCGAAGAAAGCGATTTTTTACAGAGTTGGAACTCCTTATTGCATCGAGTCAAACCTTCATCCACACTGGCGCAGAACCTGTTTTCGTGAACTTTACTGCTTTCGAATCCCTCCCACTGACCAAGACATTCATACTGTGGCTGAACAGTAAGATTTTGGTAAACCACGACATCTTTCACATAACCCTTCTGCCAACCAGCATATAAGACAGAGCGATGACTGCTCTCAAATATTTCAGCTTGATTGAAACGTTCTGCAGAGAGAGGGAGACAAAGTGGTTGAATATTTTCGGAAATTTTTATGGGATGTTTGAGGTGGTACAAGACTTCATTGGTCCCGTGTCGCTCCGTAAATTTGGGATGGATTGATATATGGCTGATCTAGACGGAGTAAATATATATATTATTAACCATGAAATGGTTTGGTTGAATATTTAGATAGTTTGACTAGGAATGGGAATCAGACCCGACGGATTAATCCTAGTATTTACTAAAGCATTGAGCAATCCGATCCGATCCGACCATTTAAACCCGGATGGGATTACCCATTCCTAGTTTTGACTTATTTCATTTACAGGGATAACAGTCCTGGTAACACCCAACACGGCTTGGTAATTTCGGAACGGGAATATCGTCAAATGATTGTCCGTGTTAGGAGCAACAATCCCCAGTGTACCTTCGGATTGGATTCAAGATATTAACAATGTAAGAATCAAACGATTTAATACATAAGTATGTCATTGAGGGCCTTCTAATTAAGATAGACATATACTATGAAATAGTATTTTGTCCGCGCTCTAACGATTTTCGAGTTTGATGGCTTAAAATTTTGTGTACATGAAGAATTCGAAATAAAATTGGTAGAGTACGCCAGCAGTTTTTGTGATACTAATCAAAATGTGCGAATTTTGACTTTTGTCCCAATATAGAGCTTCTTAATTAGCCACATTTCTAATTAATTCGTAATTGATAATTAGAAGGAAAACATTTTGTCTACTTAACTGTAATTAGCAATTAATCTCAGGTTGCTAATTAAGCGATGCGATTAACTAATTAATTAGAATATTGACCAATTAATTTGTGATTTTCTAATTAATTAGTAATTAAATTTAACTTAACAAAACCCGGTCGGATAATTATGACTCTAACTGCATGTTTTTGTGAATAAATAAAAAAGACGACATACTAGACATTACAATCGTTGGAGAGATGATACTTCCCGAAATATTGGTTTCAATCTCCCGTCCCTCATCATCCGTCACCCTTATAGTGGCCGACCAAGGAAGTGAAACCCTCTGCCGCTGGCCACTAAGGGATTTTTGGTTAAAAGTGAATTTTTCACATGTCGTGTCTAAATACTAAAAAATGCATAAACAATTAGTAACAGAGGGCGGATATGTACATCCATGCGTAAGTTCTGCAAAATATGGGTGTAATAAATGTGCTTAAAAACTGGAAAATATGCACATAAAAATGACGGTATTCATTACGAGTTCGTATGTTCGCATCACAACATAACTTTTTCCAAATTGCTAATTTTGCAATGTGAATACACTTAGCAAATGAGAGTTCATAGAATTTGGTGTAAGGAATTTTCAAAATTTCAAAAGGCGAAACTTTGGTAACTAATGGAGACTTATGGACTTTTCCCATTGTAAAATTTTCCATTTGTGAAAAATATTTTGCTAACTAAATACTATCCCTGGAGATGTGCAAGTTCGCAAAACAATTTTCAGGCAAAAATTTTTTACAAACTTGCGAACTTTATTTTTTTGATAATTATGCTAACTCGAAATAAATACCCTCAATGTTTTTCAACTGAAATTTTCTACTACATTTATGAAAAAATAATTTTTAGGAAATCTTACATATTTTCTGAATTATGAAAAATATTTTGACACAAAAAACTTACCTGTGACCTAGTTAGCCCCATCAAACAAGTGACCAAATAGATGAAGAGCGCATGCCCACGCCTCATTTCTCGTGAACTTACGTATTCCTCATGGATATTAAATCCGAACCGTCTCAATAATTCAATCCAAATGCGAATCCCACTTTCACCATGAGAAATATTATACTCCAAACGCAGATTCCGATTGTCCCTACTCGTTAGCAGAGTATCCTTTGAGAAACTAAATTTGTGCCAGTAGTGCAACCATGGCTTAAAATGGAATAGCTATCAGCAAAAAATATGTGGTTGGGATACTTTCACTTTCTGGGAGTCCCCATATTTAAAACGAATGGATATGCTTGGCGAAACAATCGTTACTGAATGTTCAATGAAATTTATTTCATTGTGTAATGAAATTTACACAAGGTTGAGCAAAAAAGAGGATGACACAACAATTGGGCAAAATTTCCACAACGGTTGGACAAATTTTGTTCAAACCGTTGCATAAATTTCGCACAAGGTGGACAAATTTTGCACAACGGTTGTATAAATTTTACCTAATTGTTGTGTCATCCTCCTTTTTACTCAACCTTGGGTAAATTTAGCACAACTCTTATTTAGTGTGTATAAAAATGCCAATGTTGTACGGTAGCGAAGGTGATTTCAAGCAGCGTGCTGTGTACTTGGGTGAAGGCAGAACATACTTATCCATGTTATAATTACGGAATGAACATGTTGTGCGGAATAATAATAGCGACGCAAATTTTCTACACGAGTATGTACATGTTTTGTGTACATGTATGGACACAAACAAAATATGCAGGTATGCAGAATAGGGTTGCCGCGGGTAGCGAAAATACTACCCGACCCGCTACCTGTATGTGCATACGTAGTGATACTTGGAAATTCATGTCGCCAATGAAAATTCTCAAATTTCATGATCAAGCAGAAAATTTAACTAGCATTGATCTAAGTTGTATTTTACGGGATTTTGTTTCAATCTGCCTTAAAATTCTACAAAAACCTCTCAAAAACCCGCAGAAACCCAAGTAAGCATTAGCCATCAAAGAAAATGAGTTCAAGAATTACTTTGGTGAGTGGAAAATTTCATGAATAATATTCAATGTTGCTAATGTACAAGATAGTGTTAGTTGTGGGTGATATAATTAGTGGATTATTTTCTGTTATAGGGAGAAAAGTTGCGGTGGACGCCTCCATGAGTTTGTATCAGTTTTTGATTGCCGTGCGTCAGGAGGGGGCCCAGCTGACGTCTGCAGATGGGGAAACTACGTCCCACCTCATGGGATTCTTTTACAGGTATTTATTTTTATATACTTTTCAATTACGGAATTGAAAGGTGTATCTTCTAATAAATCCCAATGCCATAAAAAAAGGCCTCGTAAATTAATCAGTAATTATTTTTACAGAACGATTCGGATGGTGGAGAATGGAATCAAATCCGTCTACGTTTTTGATGGGAAGCCAAAAACTCCAAAAACCACAACCACAAAAACCCGGGCTGACAATACCTGCTCTGGATTTCGTATAGTTTACTGAATCTGGAGTTAAAAGTAAGTGTCCGGACTTTTCAAAGAAGCGAAAATTATTTTTAACAACGAACAACCACACATAGTGCACATTCATATAAGTGTATGTTCGTATATGCCCCTTTATTATTTTGAGCAGCATACAAACTATACGAGTATTTAAATTCGTATGGATTTTATTATTCAGATTTAGGTATGTGGCATACTAATCAATTATGAGCATAGGGCGGATATGTATGTACTTAAATTTCTCAAACTATGTGAATGTAATATTTACTTAAAAATCTCGAAAATATGCACATGTTTTTCAACTGAAATTTCCTACTTTAGATATAGTTTAGATTTAAGAAGATTAGAATTTTAACTCTCGTAGAATAGAATTATTTCAGAATTGCAGTTAAATCTTTATTTAACGACGAATAATGCGACTCCAGTTCGATTTCGAGATTTTCTAGTCCAATTTTTGGCTTAAAAAATTGGATTTCCCAAAAAAAAAGAAATTCAAACATTGTTTACATTTTTATATATTTTAAGCTTTCCGTACATATCACATATTTTCATATATGTGTTAACGGCTTTTCGAACATGTACATATTTTCCTCTATATTTCGAGAATTTTTCAAAAGATAAATATTTCAGTAGATATTTCCAAGTTTTTTATGTAAAAATATTTGTCTTCATTCAGAAATTAAGGTTTGGGGCCGTCCATAAATTACGTCAGGCAAGAGGGGAGGAGGGGGGGTCTAAGGCTCCCATGATATGGTGCCTATGTTACACATGGTAAAGGGAGGGAGGTGGGTCTAGAAAATCTCGATTTTTGCGTTACGTAATTTATGGACGGTCCCTTTCCTCAAAATTGTATTTCATAAAATTGGTACAAAACTTATGTTGAAAACATTTTATGTGCACATTTTGTATCAGTTTTTTAAGCACATATTACATAAATATTTAATTTGCGGTAGTTATATACGCACAAACATAGCCGTCCTCTGATCATGTCTCATCATTGAATTTATCTTGTTTAAAATTTATTCGTCTCCTTCGTCGAATCTTCTTTCTCACTCGCCTTGGGGTGGCTCGTGATTGACAATCAATTATTCTTATTATTCTATTTTAATCGTGGTTGTGGTTAGGTAGTCAATGTACTTGCGTAAGGACTGACGTCCAGTTTCCCAGAAATGCACCTTCAGAATTCTGCCATTACTCACTTCCACACATGCATATTGATTGATTTATTTATTTACTACGAGACACCCCATATCTGGGTTCTTACGTCACATATGTACATACAAGTGCACTCTTAAGAATGGGAGGGTGGTTCATAAATTATGTCACGGTGAGTATGGGGTGAGGGTTCCAGGTATCCGTGACAAAATGGGACACATTGGGAGCAGGGTTTTACCGTGGGTAAAATAGGGTGGGGAAAATGGGTTTTAGACACCCACCCCCTCTCCCCGCTCTCGAGTCACATAATTTATGCACCGTCCCTAACTAGAATACTAACTTATTCATAAGAAAACCTGCCTCGACCTCAACCAAACGTTATTAAGAAAGACCATGGAGAGATTCAGTGAAATGATAAAGTAACGGTATTCTGCTTACTATGAGGTGTGAGGTGGTTATCGCCAATGTGAGCCGGACTAATTTTAAATTGTTCAGACTCAAAAATAAGGCCACCCGTATTTTTTCCTGAATGGGCATTTTTACGCCCGTGGCGGAATTTAAAAAAATGTCAGCCAAAATCCGGATTTTTAAAAACGCTCTAACTTTTCGAATTTTAGCCCGATTTCAAAAAATGAATACAATTTGTGCTCAGAATTACTTCCGTGAAAAAATAAAAATTCATTTTGAAAAATTTTTTAAATTTAATATTTTCATGACGTTTCTGAGTTTTTAGAAATAAAAAAAACAATATTTTATTGAAAATTATAAGTTTTCAAAAAATGAATTTTTATATTTCCAGGGGAGTGATTCTGAGCACAATTTGTATTCAATTTTTGAAATCGGGCTAAAATTCGAAAAGCTAGAGCATTTTTAAAAAATCCGGATTTTGGCTGATTTTTTTTTGAAAATTTCGCCAAGGGCGTAAAAATGCCCACTCAGAAAAACGAAAAAATACGGGTTGGCTTATTTCTGATCATGAGCAATTTAAGATTAGTCCAGTTCACATTGGCGATAACCACCTGACACCTCTCCGTTGTTAGAATTTCATGCCAGGGTGAGGAATATTCATACAAGTATTGCGTAAAATATACTTTTTAAACATGGAATTTGAAAATATTCCTATACAAATTTGGACATAAAATTCTAAAATTCGAATCAGATGAGGATTTCAAGTATAATTATCATTGCAAATTGTCCAAATTGTGCTGAAGGTTTCCAATCCGGTTACCAAAATCGTTCACACATATCCACTGTTGGGTACATGTGATTGGAAAAATTGAACATGCGCAATTTTTCAGTGTTATGCATCCTATAAAGAAACTTATTTATACCTTATTTGCATATATTTATCATCAGATATGCATGCAATCGTATCTTAAAGTTACATTAGTCACTCATAAATATTCCAAGCTTTTCAGCTCAAAGTGCAACCTTCCACCAGAAGGCAAAGGTGAGAAGAAATTTTTTGAAATGTCTTTCTAACTAAGGGGCCGTACATAAAGGTTGTGATCGATTTTCGAGGAATTTTGACCCTTACCCCCCACGTATAAATGTACTCCATGACATAATTAACATGGGAAGAGTTGCCCAACTCAGAACGATCACACGCTTTCTGCCCAGTCGCTAAAACTTTGCAACCTACAAAACAACCTCGTAATTATTTTTTTTTTACAAATTTATGTGTCTCATAACTTTCATGCTTTTAAGACCGTTTTAATGACATCAATCTCAACCTTACTCACTCACTTCTTGCAAACGTCCTATGCCCTGGCTACACTAGCGTCGTATTTTTTGCAGAGTTAGCTCTAGAGTTGAAATATAATTTAACGCTGAATAAAGCTACATTGCATTTTGTACCGTTGTAATTTTCAGGGTACCAAATCAGAGTTATTTCCCAGAGGTTAACTTTTAAAACTTTACCATCCCAAGAATTATTTAGTTAAAATAAAAGTGTCGAGAAAGAATTGAACCCAACTTCCGACATGGATTTAACAATAATTAGCTAGAAAATTATTCAAACTTCAACCCGAACTGTACTTGACTATGTCGATGCAAAAAAGGTAGAACATCGGCCAATGCTAATAAAACTGAAAGGCCAACTGGCCGACCTCCCCATAAGTAATAACATGCAAAGTTTCGTAATTAATTGTACATTCAGTTGTTGATGGATTTTCAAAATGGCGTACATTTTGGAAACCTTGGACCCTTGGGCGAAATATTCATTTTCAAATTTTTGAAATACGGCCCCACCCCCTCGAAATCACTAGGTCAAACCACGTGAACTACTTATTTATCGAATGTGAAAATTCTACGACAGACATGGGCGCAAATTTTTGTTGTGAAAATGTTTGAAATAGTCACGTTGTCATACTCATTGTCAGAGTCTATTAGGCTGCACCCCCTGCTTTTAAGCCATTGTTGGGTTGGTCCTAAAGTAAGTTCGAAGAATTGAATACCAAAACATTTTCTCCCGGCATTGTTCCCAAATTAAATAAATGTCCCTATTCCAAATAATATTGCCCACGACCCCTCACCTGAACAACAACCAAAAGTGTCCAAAATAAGTAAGTTAAGCCTTTTATGTTAAATATGACTGATGGAATTGTAATTGCATTAATGTCATGTAACTTACTTTACAACTTATATGTTGTTTAAAATTTTACATACGGCCGTCTTTAAGGCGGGCTTATAAGCTAGTATTACATATTGTTGTTTGTAGTCGCATTGGGGTATATGTATGAAGTGTTTATGTACGACGTTGTGC